CAAAAACCCCAGCCACAGAAGTGCTGACGCGTGGATGCCTATTGGTCCCGGTTGGTGCCACCAACCGGGACCAAAGGGTCTCCTGACTGGGCTCTACGCACTGCCCACGTGGAGGGCCTTTAGTCCCGGTTCTGGATTGAACCGGGACTAAAGGGGGGAGGTATTAGTACCGACACTTTAGTCCCGGTTCCGGAACCGGGACTAAAGGCCCTTACGAACCGGGACTATAGGCCCTTTTTCTACCAGTGTCATACAATCCTAAATATTGCTTCGCCTACGTTTGAAAGTGAGGTGCCACTGTATCAGCCTTATTTTTTGGAGATAATGAGCAGCATTCTTCGCCCATTTGAGATTTGTTCAGACAAACTATAGTCCTAGTAAAATCAATAGATACACAAAACCAGTAGGGTCATGCATCATGTTCAGCAGACTTTGCTAGAACCTTTAGGATATGACTAAAACAACAGGATATGAACTTTGGTGCCCTACTGTTAAAAAACAATTAAACCTGTGAGAGATCTGTTGTTCACTTTGTTCTTAACATTGCTGATCAAACTAGCACAATCTGACTCCACAATTATTTTTTTGGAACCCGGTTACTTCTGCAAAAATCGAAGCATGGCGCATTGCAATAGCTTCACCGGTAATCAACATGATCAACAGAGCATACGCTTGCAGCTAGCACCAGACCCAGTGGTTGCGGATGACAACACCAATGACCATGCATTTTGTCTGGGCAAATACCGCAGCATTAACATTGATAATGACTGACTTAGCCGGCGGCGAAGACCACTTGGTGATTGACGCTAGTGCTCACGCCTAATGGAGACAGTCGGCCTGAAGTTGTACAATAAGATAAAATCAACATAAACTTTGATTCTGCCCACCACATGTGAGAATGGAAATCTGAAGCACTATAAATCCAGTTCAATAGCCATTGTTGCATATGGACAAAGCTTAATGATAAATCAGATGATCCTTAGACTGAAACGATCACCTGCAGGAAGGCAGTTGTGTGATCACTGATTGGGTTGGGAGGTAGACGCTTAGACTGAAAGGCTATGAAGATTTCTGGAAACAAAAAATGTTTAGGTGGCAAAGACTCTATTACAATTTTTAGCTAAAAGGCTGTGAAGGGGTTCTGGGAACGAAGAAGGGCCTTTTTCAAACACATGAACTTAAATAAGAAATAGTTTCAAATTCAAAACAATAAAACCACGCTTAGATTCAGTGTAAAATAGTATGGAGGTGTTTCTTTACGGGTGTAACTTACCGGCTAATGAGCAATTTCCGTCCGGAAACGAAACGGCCAATCGAGGCATGTATTTTTTTTACAGAGGTATTTGAAATGAAAACACTGATCCAAACAGGCCTTAAGTTCTATTAAGTAAGAATAAGAAGCAGGGAAAAAAGAATTCAAAAAGAATTTACTTTCAGGCAAAAAGAAGAAGAAGCACTAGTAGAAGCAGTAATTAAGAAAGCATATAACACAGGAGGCAAACAATTTCTCCCGAATTTAACGATCGATTGCATTCATCAGTTCTGATAATAGCTCAGGCCGGCAAAAACACTCACACTTGATTTAACCTATGACGAAGTGACAGAAACATTCTGATCTGTCAGGGGCAACTAAGATAGATTTTGCAGAGCTAACTGACATACTCACGCTCAAAGCCTAACTAAATTTATTGATTTCTGCCTAAGGCGACCGGCCGATGTGCAATGAATGGCCCTAGTTGGGGGCGAAGAAGATCTCGGAGTCGAGCCTCTTGGACCGGAAGAGCTTCTCCATCTCCGGCGTCGTGTTGAATGACGCCTCCAGCACCTCCGGCGAGATGGCCTTCCACACCGATGTCTTCCCCGCCAGGTGGCTGAAGATCGGGCTGCAGCAACAATGCTATTATTAGATCATCCCCATGGATTAATTTCTGGAGAAGCACAAGTGCACAACACCATGACAAGTAGAATTTGTTTCAGTAATTAATTCCTTACTTGGGGGTGGTGATGATGGAGAACCACTCCATGCCAGAGGCATCAGCGATCTTGGACACAACGTGGAAGCGGGGCACGATGAAGAGGCTGCCGCCCTCGATGCGGGTCTCCAGCACACGCTTGCCGTCCGGGCCGACGACCTGCACGCGCCCGCTGCCACGGACGATATACGTGACCTGGTACGCCGAATCGCACGAGAATCCAGGGGAGCACATGGAGTGGGCGTCGATCCTGACCAGGTCAGCCCCCAGCCCGACCTCCTTAACAAGCGGCAGGTTGGCCGTGTTGAGCACCACCACACGGCCGCCCTTGGGGATGTCCACGTCGAGCTTGGCCTCCAGGCAGTTGAGCGCCATGTCCTTGCGGTCCTCTGCGACAGGCTCGGGGAGCTTCTGCCCGGCCGAGAGCTTGACGATGCCGGAGGCTGGCTGGCTGGAGACGAGCTTGGCCGCGTCATTCTGCTTGAGGTCCCAGGCGCGGCCGACGAACTCTGTGGAGAAGCCGGTGAAGCTGCCGCTGGCGCCCGTGAGCTGGAAGTTGGTGAACTGGCCGGGCCTGTGGCCCTTGGAGGTGTCGCCAAGGAAGAGGATGACGAGCTCCGTCGCAGACCCGGGGGTGTTGTGCCACCAGGTGACCACGCCGAACGGGAGCGCCAGAGCGTCACCCTCCTTGACGGCGACCACCTTCTCCTTGGTGGCCTCAGGCAGGACGATGCCACAGGTTCCCTTGCCTGTCAATCATAGATCAAAATGAGCAGTATTAGTACTACGAAACTCGTGGAAAAACAAGTCTAAACTGTTGATTAATGTTGCAACGAAATTCCGAAAACAGCATGCATGTTAAGATCCGAGGAAAACCAACACGCATGGCCAAGTTGTGACGTAACAGAAAGATTTGATTAAAACAACAGGGCAAAACCAAATAAATGAAACATTCAGGACCTCTTAAGCAAAGAGATTTATTCAAAAGAAACGCAATAATAGTTCTTCTGTTATTATTGATTCGAAATAAGTGAGATCTGATGGAGACACACTTAACCTGATGAAACCGAACCCCAAAAAAAAAACTAGCACGATTTCGGAACTGATCACAACGTGTGCATTCGTCAGACAATTCAGGAGAAATATGTCTCCCCTCAATCCCAATCTACGTTAGCATTCGATCTAAACTGATTCGATAAATACGCTAGCATCTACGAACCAAAATTAACCTGACGAAACTAAACAATTCAGCAAACAACAACAATAATACTACTGTATTTGTTTTTGCTAACCTGACGAAACTAAACAAAACTAGCACGATTTCAGAAGTGATCACAAGTAAACAACGTGTATTCGACAGAGAGACAATTCAGGAGAGCTGCGATCCAAAATGAACGTTACCATTCGATTAATACACTGGCATCTACTAACCAAAATTAATTGAGTCAGATCGATCGGTTGGTCGGCGATCGAGATCGATCGGTTGCATGCACATACCTTGGAGGACGTAGGCGACCTTTGCGGAGTCGGAGTAGCTGGGGAGGGACATGCCGCCGGCGGCGAGCGAGAGCTTGGCTGCGCCGATGGAGGCGACACCGAGCATGGGCAGCTCGGCTGGGCTCCACTCGTAGTAGGCGCCGCCCTCGCCACCGTACGCCTTCGCCGGCTGCCTCGGGGTCAGATCCACCGCCATCGCCGCGAAAAGGAGAGGGAACACGAGCTACGATCGATCGAGGTTCTGGAAGTGCCGGGGGCAGGAGAGGAGAGTGCGATGAGGCGATGTGGGATGGGATCGGGCGCCGGCTATTTATAGCCCAGGAACCGGGAGGATGGAAGGCTGCTCAGCCTCATGGATAAGGTTAACGGCCGTATTAATAGGAGTGGATTAGGATTAACATAGGATAGTTGTTTCCCTTTTTTTTGACTAACATAGGATAGCCAAACAAGTCAAAGTGTATTTAACATAAAAAATATTGTGAAACAACATAGTACCGAAGTTATGGTTGGCAACATTCTAACACCAATTCATGTTAACATAAAAAAAATTCTAACCTTCATGTTCGAATTGAAACTCCTGCTTTACCTACTTTCATTTTCTCTTGGAGGAAGAGTGGTTCTTGTCCTCCCTCTTTATGAATTCATATAATCAAATACAACAAATTATTACTCCTATATTTTTATTATAAAAGTTGGGGCATTTGTGAAGGCTGCAATGAATAATATTTAAAAGATTCATTCTCATATTTTACTTTCTGAGCAAATTAAAGGTTAATAAGCCAACTTGCATCTGATAATATTTAAGGTGTCATCCTCTGCAAGCTTCACCAGTGTTGCTCCACTGATAATGATGCCGTGATACTTTGTTCTAAAAACTAAAGAGCCAAGTAAAATTAATATATGAACCCCTGCTTAATGATGAGCTAGCAGGGGAAGTTTTTGTTGGGTCGGATTTTGTTTGCAGGTCGAATGATCATTGGCTCATTCAATTTAAACATCCAAAATCGTAGTGGTACAACAAAGACAAGGTAAGCACCTGGCCAATATCTTGATGTTGAAGCAAAAAAAAGCACATTGCTTATCAAGTTTATCTTCTTAATTCGATATTTAGATAATTTTGAGATACTGCCATAAATAGTTGCAGTTATCAATCAGATATATTTCGTTATTTATTTTGTATTGCGGAATAGGTTAAGCATTTGTTCATTGGTATCGAACATTAAAATTGATGCTGAAAAAAATATATCTCAACTAGGTGCATAGTTGAGTATTTTGGTACAACAAGGACACGTTCTAGAGACATCACTATTTTCTTTATATTAAGTACCTGAAATATTAAACCTTCATATACGAGGTGCTAAGATTTGGTTTTGTACGATTGAGTCAAACTTACTTACCCTCTCGCAAATGTCAGAATTCAAAGTGAGTAGTGTACTATCAATAATAAGTCGCAAATTCAGTTATTTAAAAAAACTACTTTGGCAAATATTAAATTTTGTATTATTTTGTACATTTTAGTTCAAATTTTGGCTTATACTAAAAATCCAAACTTGAAATAGTCGACATTTTGTAGTGCAAAGAAATGGAGCCGATATTATTACTTATATTGTACGTGCAAACATTATTGTATTTCCTGACTCAATGCTCAAAAATTATTCGAGACAAGACTTTTAACACTCGGGTGCCCCTACACCATCTTTGACAGTAAATTCAGAAAAAAATTGAAACAAAATCAAAAAAATCTGAAACTTCGGAACATCAAACATGATCAAACATTCGATATTCTTGCAAAGATTCAGCCTCAAATAACATTCGAGGAGCCCTAACCTAAAGAACCAAAATCAGTGTTCAAAGTTTATGTGCACTTTTGAGCAGTACCTTTTTCTGTGAGGGCTTCTCAACTGTTATTTGTGTCTGAAAAATTGCAAGAACATAAAAAAATTGATCATCTTTGATCCCCAAAGTTGCAGACTTTTTTTGCTTCTTTTTTCATTTTTGTGAATTTGTTGTTCATGAGGGTGTAGGGGCACCCGGGAGCTATCACACCTTTCTCTAATGAATTTTTAAGAATATACATACCAATTTAAAAATGTAAATGTTTAAATTAAGGAATCCTCCTTCACATATATTTAAATGTATATAAGCATTACAAAGTAAATATGCATGATGTGTAATTATACCATATATTACACAGTAATGGAAAGAGAAATAATATCCTTAGAGCATCTCCAATAGAATATGCATATTTAGAGATGTAGAAATTTACATCTTCAAAAAGTGCTTTTTACATCTTCACAAAAAGGGCAACTCCAACAAATGATGTAAATTGATGATGTAAAAGTGCAACTCCAACAAATGACGCAAATGGAGATGCAAAACTTGTTGAACGGTAGCGGGGACGGCGGCGGCGCGACGCGATTCGAGGTGCGGAGAGGATGAGGACCGGTGGAGCGGTGACGAATGAGCAGCGGAGGGGCGGAGGAGTGGCGAATCAGGGCGGCGGAGCAGCGGCGGAGGATTGGTGATTCGAGGCAGAGAGAGGAAGAGGAGCGGCTGCAGAACACCCACGGATGGCCCTGACACTACAGAGAACATGGCGGCAGCTCCGCGCGTGGGCGGACAGTGTCGCGCTGCGGGAGGACGGTGGAGGTGGGAAACTGTCGGCTGGCGGTGTGGCCCGCCTCCCCTACGTTCGGCGGTGGGTTGGGACTAGGAACAAGACCACCCCATCCATGACCACGCTGTGGAAGCCATGAGGGCAGTCGAACCTCCGGGCAAGTTTCGATTCGAAACGGAGATCGATATCATATCAGCCGGTGTGGAGGACAACACTACTCCGGCATGGCAGGCGGTGAGGGACAGGTAGGAGGACTGACGGCGGGGTCGGAGGTGGGTGTGTAGGTAGGGGTGGCGGCGGTTTTGGGCGAACTCGGCCAACGGCGGAGTTGGGTGGGCGGGCGACGGTTGTGCAGAAGCAGATGGAAGGCAGTTCGGTGGTGGTGCGCGGCTGGCAATTTTACATCTCCTATACGTGGAGATGTATATTTCCATCGTGAGGTGTTGTATTTAACATCTCTGGGAGGTGGAGATGTAGTTTTTCTTCATCTACATCATCTGTTGAAGAAGAGGGGTTTTGGGGCCTCGGAGATGCAAAAGTTAGTTATTTTTGCATCTACATCTTTTATTGGAGATGCTCTTATCCCGTGAAGATGCACGGGTTGATGACTAGTATATATTGAAAACCTCACACATGTTGTGACACTCCCCAATGCGCCCCGAGACTAGAAGTAGTTCGGTGCAGTCCCAAAGATGATATCCCTACCATCGAGCCAACGGTCCTCCAGAAAGAGAATAGTTATTTATTGCTTGTGTTGTTGACACGTCCCTCATGCATTATATTTACGAAAAGGGTTTCAGCGCTTTATATTTTAAAGCAAGCATCATCACATTTAAATCTGAGCAAACCGATGCAAACACACACCACCGCACAGAACACACCCATCCAAAGCAAAATACAAAGGTGAGCTAACTACAGATGTGTGAAGAAGAAAACTTGTAGCTGGCGGAGACCACCACGAGCAATCCACAACGGAGAGGTGAAACGGACAACGATGAAGCCAGGACTCCAAAACGGTGCCTATCAGAAGGGTATGACCACGAATAGCCATCACCGCCTGATCCCCAAATCAAGTTTTCATCCGGAGCAAGGTGAAAGGAGTGGGAATGCAGCGACAGAGCCTTCAGGAAGGATATTGTTGGGGAACGTAGTAATTTCAAAAAAATTCTACGCACACGCAAGATCATGGTGATGCATAGCAACGAGAGGGGAGAGTATGATCTACATACCCTTGTAGATCGATAGCGGAAGCGTTATGACAACGCGGTTGATGTAGTCGTACGTCTTCACGGCCCGACCGATCAAGCACCGAAACTACGGCACCTCCGAGTTTTAGCACACGTTCAGCTCGATGACGATCCCCGGACTCCGATCCAGCAAAGTGTCGGGGAAGAGTTCCGTCAGCACGACGGCGTGGTGACGATCTTGATGTACTACTATCGCAGGGCTTCGCCTAAGCACCACTACAATATTATCGAGGATTATGGTGGCAGGGGGCGCCGCACACGGCTAAGAATATGATCACGTGGATCAACTTGTGTGTTTCTGGGGTGCCCCTGCCTTCGTATATAAAGGTTCAAGAGAGGAGGAGGCCGGCCGGCCCCTATGGCGCGCCAAGGACGAGTACTCCTCCTAGTAGGAGTAGGACTCCTACTAGGAGGGGGAAAGAAGTTGGGAGGGAGAGGGAAAGGGGGGCGCCGCCCCCCCTCTCCTAGTCCAATTCGGACCAGGGGGAGGAGGCGCGCGGCCCACCTTTGGCTGCCCCTCTCTCTCTCCACTAAGGCCCATATGGCCCATTACTTCTCCCGGGGGGGTTCCGGTAACCCTCCGGCTTTCCGGTTTTCTCCGAAATCACCCGGAACACTTCCGGTGTCCGAATATAGCCGTCCAATATATCAATCTTTATGTCTTGACCATTTCGAGACTCCTCGTCATGTCCGTGATCACATCCGGGACTCCAAACAACCTTCGGTACATCAAAACGTATAAACTCATAATATAACTATCATCGAAACCTTAAGCGTGCGGACCCTACGGGTTCGAGAACGATGTAGACATGACCGAGACATGTCTCCGGTCAATAACCAATAGCGGGACCTGGATGCCCATGTTGGCTCCTACATATTCTACGAAGATCTTTATCGGTCAGACCGCATAACAACATACGTTGTTCCCTTTGTCATCGGTATGTTACTTGCCCGGGATTCGATCGTCGGTATCCAATACCTAGTTCAATCTCATTACCGGCAAGTCTCTTTACTCATTCTGTAATACATCATCTCGCAACTGACTCATTAGTTGCATTGCTTGCAAGGCTTACTTGATGTGCATTACCGAGAGGGCCCAGAGATACCTCTCCGACAATTGGAGTGACAAATCCTAATCTCGAAATACGTCAACCCAACATGTACCTTTGGAGACACCTGTAGATCACCTTTATAATCACCCAGTTACGTTGTGACGTTTGGTAGCACACAAAGTGTTCCTCCGGCATACGGGAGTTACATAATCTCATAGTCATAGGAACATGTATAAGTCATGAAGAAAGCAATAGCAACATACTAAAAGATCGGATGCTA